AAAATTCAAACCAAGTGTAAAATTAAGCTAAAACTTATAGTAACATTTACAAAAGAATTATTTCCATTTAGGTCCATATCCTCAATTCCTATGATCTTGCCCTCAGACTGATCAAGGATAGTGCTCTGTTGACCATTTTGGTTCTTTTTTCTGTGGTAACCCTTGCTTATCTTTGCAGGCAAATGCAATAATCAATAGTCTTACGGCGAGTGTTAATAAGGTCCAGGGTGCTTTAGCAGACTTGAATGGGCAGAGTAAACCACATGTGTGGCTTATGACTTATGTGCAAACTACTAAAGACAAACAGGTAGGCGTCGATCAATCTTCAATCTTAATGCTGCCTATTATGAATAATTGGCCATGCCTGTTTCTTTCCTTATTTTTGGGCCAGTATATGAACTACTGGGTCACCTGTCATTGCGACACCCCTACAAAGTTTAGAAGTCTAGAAACCTGGTACAGTATGTCACTGCTGCGGTAATTTTATGTCACTTGTAATAATATATTTTCTTCAGGGCATGCTCCAGAGTGTTCTTAGAATTCCACTTGATCAAGTTACAACAAACATAGAGCCTGCTATGCATGATGAGAGGGACAACAAAAGTAAGGGCATTTTATTAATGCCAGTTAATCTAATGAGCATTCATGCGTTTGATCTTGGAAGAATGGTTTTTTATTATAATAAGTTACTACTGATTGTATGTGCTTTGAGCTTTTTGTCCATAATTTCAGGTGATGATGAATTTGATGATTTCCCAGATACAGAATCACCTGGTGAGATTATAATTATTATTAGGCCATTTTTCATTTTGTTTTTGATTTCTTATTTAAGTTTCACAATCCCGCTGAGGATTTAAGAACAATAGCCCTAATTTGCACAAGAAAACAACAAACTGTCAAAGAATTCTGATGTCAACGTGCAAATTTTATTGTCCTATTTTTTGTCTTTTGCTATCCTATCCAGGGGCACACCAGTGAAATTATAGAGGACTGTAAAGTTATAGCCTGTCCACAGAACCTCTATTTTCTCTTTAGAGATCGTTGAGTGTGCGTGTGAAAATTAAAACTGTGGTGGATTTATTGACCTCAAGCGCAAGGGGGTGGGGGTGGGGAAAGGAGAAAATAGGTATGCTCCAACTTCCTTCTCGTGCTCCATCCACGCTCTTGCGTGCTTGCTTCGCACACAGGCTCATTGATTTAAAAAAAATCTGTGCCAAGGCAACATTGTTCTCCATGGGTTCGTCAATTTTCAAAAAGAAAGATAGAAAAGGTCTGTGTACCAGCTATGAAGTAAAGGTTACCAGAAACTGTTAGGGATGTCTCAGTTCTAAATCAATGATGTTCTGCGTTCTGATTACACTGTGTGTATACCTGAAGTCCTTATCAAATTAGCGGCAACGAAGAGGAGAAGTGTGATGTCATTTTACCATAGTTTAAGATTTCTGGATCACAACCAGTAGGGAGCTTAATAAATTGTTAAGCAAAACGACGACGGCAATGGCAACGAAAACAGCAAAAAAAGTAATATGTTTATGTAGGTAAGCAAAACAACTTTGCATGTGCATCATGCTTTTTTCTACATTTCTTACCAAACTTCCTAATTTCAAGCGCCTGCTTTATGGAGTAGGAGAACACAGCACAAAAAATTTCTTTTTCTGACCTCAGATACGGTCCTGTTGGATTCAACCTCAGACAATTTCACCAACATTTGACAAATTAAATGAAATTGAATAGGATCGATGAGGTTTGAAACACTACAAATAATTCACTTTTAAAGTGATGTTTTTGGTTTGTTGTTATCCAGAAATTTTGCTACCATTTATGATGGCAACATGACATAACAGCTTCTCCTCTCTTTATCTCTATAGAGCTGGCAGGCTATTTTTGGCTGGCTACAAACCATTAAAAAAAAGAAGCTTGAACTATCTACATTTTTAAGTGAATTTTAAAAGTGAGCATATGAACCATGCTATTGAAAGGCTAAACTCAAAGCTGCTTTTGCATTTTAGTGTACAAAAAGGTCTTAATTTTCCAGACACAAAGCACTAAGCAAGTGTTAGGGATTTGCCATTTGATTGTGATGAAAATTTACAGATCATTTTGGAAATAAGGCAAAAAGAAATTGGGGTGATTATGGAACAATGTCTTCCAAAAGTTATTTTATGTTAACAGAGTTGAAAAAATAGATGAAGAGGTAAATTCTTTCTCCATTTTAAATATTATTCTTACATGTGTACTTCAGGTCAAAATACGAAATGTCATCTATATGTCAATATTACTCATTGTAATTGCCATGATTTATGATTGTTTTCTTCAATCTTAAGGTATCTAGTAACCAAGGGTTACATGGTCCTCAAGGAAAATTGAATCAAGGCCAATATCTACCAATTAATTTTGTATATATTTGCAGGGCTTTGTAGATGTCGTGCCCTTTATGAATACAAAGCATCACAAAGTGATGAACTTGATATTTTACCTGGAGACATTATTACATTAACAGCCAAGTTAGAGGGAGGATGGTGGCAAGGTGAACTTCATAATAAAACAGGAATTTTCCCCGCTAGTTATGTTGAAGAAATTGGATGACCTTGACCTCAACATGGACTGTGGATTGGAATATTAATTAATGAAAAAAATTACTTGTGGGTCATTTAGATGCGTTTTGCCGTCTTTACCTTACAGTTTGGAAAAAAAAAACACACACACACGCGCGTGCGCATGCCTAGTCACATGCTTATTAATGAAAAGAAGTGCTTTCAAGTGAGTCTTTCAGTCTGTTATTTGTAAAAGAAAATTATTGTGTACTGCTATGCACAATAGACCTTTCCCGCATTGCTGTAAACAAACTGGCAGCAATTCGAGGCTTGGGTGGAAAAAATACAATGATTTGTATATTTGTATGGAATTGTCCACTTAAGGCTAGGAAATATGTGAGAAAGGTCTATCCGTAGTTTCTTTTTTGTTTAAAGTGTGATCAGTTAAATTAAGAACCTATGGGCAAAGAACAGCATTATTTTGTTGTATTAAATTTAAGTCAGGATGTTACCCTTAGGCTCAAAATAATTCGCTGGATTGTTACTTTGATGAGAGAAAGTACTTATTTTCCCTGGCTTTCACTTTGTTTTGGGAAAAAATGAAAGCCAAATAGTTGAGCTGGCATCATTTTATAACACTGAGAAAAAAGAGCATGCTGCAGTATATTTTTGAAAGGAAGTTACTTTTAGTTATAAAGACAGTATTTTGTTTCTTTTGTTTTACAAATGACACAGACTTGATTTCTTGCACTCAATTTTCTCCAGCATCAGTGCAAACTCTAGAAAAAGGCATTTGGACAAATGGTATTTTTGTTAGCAGTATTGGATTGGTGTGCAAAAATGTACAAGAATATGTAAGGAACTGTTGGGCAGAAAATTGAACAAACCCACATAAGAGTATGATAACAGAACAGGATGGTTTCTACTTGGTTTTATTACAATAAAATGCAGTTGTCAGGTATAAAATGTCACAAAACTTTACCTTTGTGATTTGATGACAGGAGAGTTGTTTCATGGTTGAGTTTGGTAAATTTTTATGACATTACCCACGCTGTAGTGTGGTCTTGTCATGTAAGCTTTCCAACAATGTTAAATGCAATACCAGCTGTTCAAACTTTGGATAGCTCTATCCACTGGATTAATCACTATCCAGTGGATAAATGTTACGAAAACCAATTGTGTTATCCACTGGTTAGAGTTTTAATCAGTTGATAGTGTTATCATCTTTCGAACAACTGCGGCCTTATTTTCATGTAATGTTGGGAAAATCTAATACAATATAGGAATTTCACCCTTACTGACCACCCCAGATTTTGACTACTAATGTAAACTAAACTATTGTCAGCCAAATCAGGAGAATCATGAACATAAAGTTTTAATTTTCCTAATATGTTCCAGATTTCTATGATGGCCACTAATTTCTCCCAAGGTATGAAAACTTGACACATTATACTGTCCAGAGCTAAGGATCAATGGGCGATTGTTTTTGCTTGGTCCTTCTTAGCTTTAGACTAAAGATTTTTTCTGACTTATTGGCAGTTATCTGGATCATGGAATGATCAGAAAATGTTGAAATTCCTGATTGTCCAGGATTTTTCTAATGTCTGTAAACCAGGCTGTACATTCAATCAACTCTCTCTTGCTCTATCGACACCTCTTAACCCTTTGAGTCCCAATAGTGACCAACATCAATTTTCTCCTAACAATGTCCATATGTTGCCAAGAGAAATGGTTATAAGAGTTAATAAAATGGTCACTAATTAGAAAATGCTTTGATCTGTTATCAAATTCTCTCAACTAATTCTTTAAGGAAATGTATGGAGATCAGTTTGGAGAATTTGTATGTGGATATAGGGGCTTAAGGGGTTAATTGGACCACCACCTTGAGTTTGACTATGTGTACCTCATTGATCCTCTTTACTACAATGTGCCTATATATAAGATCACAGGCAGACCCCTCTCTCAGATGAACACTGAGAGCCAATCTCAAGAAAGTCTATCTTGCTGGAGAGAGTTCACTGTTGACTGAGTTAGTTGACCACTTAAGCTGAAATATCAGTGTATGATTTCTTCTTTGACAGATCACTTAAGTTAGAAAATTACTGTTCAGCTTTAAGGACAATATTATAATGGGTTTAAATTTCAACCATCTCCTCGAGTTTGCAAATCAAGGTCACAGCTGAAATTCAGATTAAAAATGGAGTGGCTTGAACACATTTTGGAGCCACTAGGAGTAGAAAAGAGATGTATATTTTTTGCATGGTGTAGTTAATATGTCCATGAAACCTTCAGTTGTTAAGTAATTAAAGTATTTGATAAGACAAAGTGCATTAATAAAAAACCTTGACTTGACAAAATTGTGAAGTCCTCAGTATTAAAAATGATATTCTTCACCTCAGTAATAGTAAAATATATTGAAAAGAACTTGAGTTGCACAAACCCTGTTAACATTAATTTTCATACTGGGCATATTGTCATGTCTTTCAACAAACCAGCAACTACATAAAAGATTTCAAACAGAATCTTTTACTAACCTCGAATAAAGGTGTACTTGGACTAAAAAACTAATTTCAGGAGTTCTTTTGAATGATGATGTGATTCACCATGCACTTGATTATTTACAAACAGGTAAGGGGGAACTAGCATTTTGTTATCTTAGAATGAACTACTACAAGTCATGTATAAAACATCTCTTCAGTAATAGCAATTCGTCTCTTAAAGAGTACAGTTTGTTATTATTTCTCTTTTAATCTTGGATAATGTGATGAGCTTTTGAAGTTTAGCCAGATCTAAAGACAACAATCATTGCCACACAGCTTGCTTTTAGTGCCTTGAGATGAAATACGCTGATTCAACTTGTGCTGGTCTTGTTGGAGGCTGTAACATAATCTTTGAATCTTCTTCTCATTGAGACCACAAACTTGGAGAAGTTATTTGTACTGTTTAGCTGCTGCACCATTTCATCAAGTTCTTTGACCTCTGGCATGCAGTTTTTCACTGTAAGAGGAATAACAGGTTAATTTTTAGATCTTCATAGGCAAAGAAGGTTAAGATACACACAAAGGGCCTACATGACTGGAGGTTGTCCTGGTTGCTGTAGCATGAAGTAACAAGGAGCTTTGCTACTCTCAGCTGGATGGGGTGCTAGCCACACCCCAGCAATATGTTACCGGTGCCCATTGATACTGCCTGGACCTACAGATTTGAAGTCTGTGAAACATGTTAACTGCTCTGCCTCCACGTTTCCACCATAAACAAAGAAAGACGTGGTAATTTTTTTTTGTTAAATGGAATCACCAGTTTGTAATATCCGTGATATCACAGGCATGGATATATCAAAACAAATTCCAAAATCAATGCGCAGAATTTAAAAAAGTGTGAATAAATTAACTTTGCAAACCTAGGCTGTTGTCTTCAACGGGTAAATATGATCAAATGGAAGACAAAAAATATCATCTTTTGAAGCAAGTAATGCAGATTTAATAATATTTGAGCCTTGGCATAAATTTGCAGAACAGGACATAGTTTCAAGGAAACCGAAACATAGGTTTGACAATGTTTACACTTTTCTTTGTAAATTTTCAGTTCCTTATTAAAATATTGTTACATTTGTATTTTGTTTCGAGTGAGTCTTTCCATTTTTAATTAAATTTTCACCCTTTAAAAACAATGACACCAGAGACTGTTTTGATTTTATAGTGAAGCTATTTACTAACAACATTACCACTGTATGTGCCTTGGTTGGTAATGGACACAGTAAAAACAAATGGCTTCTCCTCATCATTTGGATCAATGTACTTGAACACAAACTGCAGATTATCTTCTGATGAAAGAGAGAGAGAGAGAGAAAACTTATCTACTTGAACATTAAAATATCTTAACTGTTAACTGTCCTATTAAATTTTTATTGAAACGTACAAGCTTTCAAGACAGGTTATCTTTTTATCTCTAGAGATAGGAGATGATGAAATGATAATCTTCCAAATATTTCAAGTTTTGTGGGCAAAGTTATAAAATGTGGCACATAAAATTGCTGTTCAGCTGGGCAAATTAAATAATTTAAATGGTCAGTAAATTTGCCCATTGAGTAAATAGAATAATTAGGAAAAGGTGTGATCGCAGGCTATCTGGTGACTGGCCTCCACAGTAACTAAAGTCCCTGCAAGCCCTAAGGTTAGTATAGATTGATTTCTAAACAAAATCTTCCCATTACTATGATTAGGAATGTAGTGAGAACAGTATGGAGAATATCTGAGTTGATATATACAATGCAGAAACCCCTGACAATAAACCTTGAGTGTGAGCAACAGAGCTTACCATCCACTTTCTTGAAAGCTAAGCCCAGTCTCTCTTTGAATAACTCTGTCCCCTTGGTAAACTGTTTGATCTTGAATGAGCTACTTTGTTCCTTAGAAGTGATTTCTAAAAAAAAAACCCACAACATTTCAGGTAAGGTTGTTTAGAGCCACAGGATCCCCAAGTTACATGAGCCTGGTCAAAGTAACATAAACAAGTAGAAACTAGCCCTTTCCACATGGCACAGGCAGGTGTCTTATTCTCTTAGGATCATTGCCTAGGATGGTTTTCTTGCAGCAGATGAATCTTGCAGTCAGACCCTAGCCTGTCAGCCTAGTTATGTAACAGACGAAACTAAACCTCTAGTTGAGTCCATCTGCAAAACAGTGCCAACATCGCTGTTCTGGATCCCCACGTGCATTCCAGGACTTGAGTATGCACAATGATTGGCTTGTTTAAAGGGCAATTGTTGATTTCCCAATCAGGATGAAACGAAATTCAAAATGCCTCTCTGGTAATTGGTTGGGTCCATTGGGGGTCCTTGACAAGAATATCGGCCTTGGTTGCAAACGTTCCTAACCGAGGTAAAGTTCTGTCTGCGACGCAGGCTGAGACCACAGCATCACTTGTTCTTGTTGGCATTTGTCTTTTATGGCAGGAAACATGGAAGTTGCCTGTGAAGGAGGCTATCTTACATCTGTGTTTACCTTGACATCAGTTTCACATAACAGTCTCCCACACAATGTGGTCTGTCATGCAGCACTGCAAAGTGTGGAACAGCCTGCGAGCAAGCTCTCCGGGGGGGTGGATACGAGGGAAAACTATTTTTCTCTCTCACCCCTAGGGCCCCCAGACAACTTGGTTGCAGGCTAAGTGTGGGACACCTGGAAAAAATTTTTTAGGGATGGGTTGAACCACTGTATAGGCGATACTCCAAGATATACTCAAACTAACTGCCTTGGAGTTTTTGAGCAGCTGGCCCTGGTCGTTCAAAAGTTGCATAACACTATCCCGTGGATAAATATAAGGGAAACCATGACATTATCCACTGGATAGAGATTTATCCATTGGATAACGCTATCTTTTGAAAAACTGAGATGATTCTCTTCGTTCTAATTTTAAGTCTTATAATTCTTCGCGGCTGTTCTCTATATAGTCATTCAATGTTCAAAAAACGGCTGCCTATGAAAAATCTCATAAATGGCAGAAGTGACGTCTAAATACCTGGAAAATAGAAACTGATAAACTAATAGCCCACCTAGCTAGCAGTTTTTTTGGTGTGATTTTTCAAATGGGAAAACAATAGGGTAGGGGATAATGGGGAGAGTGAAATCTTTCCATCCAATAGGAATCTGACATTCGCTGACAGGTTCACATTCTGTCAGCGAATCAGGAATGCCGTTTTCTCTGTCCGCTGGCGAACAGTGTTTCAAAAATCTTTTGGGGTTGAATCCCCATTGGCTTCTCCCCTTACTCCCCTGCCCCATCGTTTTCTGTTTCGACCTAGGTTCAGCTTTCGCACAGAAGAAAAACACACCAAAAAAATTACCAGCTGCGCAAACTAAACAAATTAATGCAATGCTTGTCTTAGAGCATGTACCGTCTTTTCGTGTCTTTAATCGATGTTCCGTGTCTTCAAGGTATTTCTCTGTTTGTTCTCTTCTCTGTACCAGATGCTCAGCTGTGATTTGTAACTCGCGTAACTCTCTTTCAAGGTTTGCAACTTCATCAGCTCTCTGTCGTAAAACTAGAAAGTACATTGATTGGTTGAAGTATCGGACCCTGAATGAACAGTTGTTTAAGTTAGCTAAGTAGTAAGCTTAACTTCTTAAACAAGCTTAAGACGAAATCCATCAGGAAGTCAGGTAACTTCAATTTTCAGTGCACAAAAACCTTGTACCAGAACAATATTGCATTCTTTTTAACATTTTCAAAGGGCTACAGATAAAATTAGTTATCTGTAATAACACCAAAGACTATTTCTCATGGGAGCCCGTGAAAATAAATGTCAAAATTTACAAGAATTGTGAAAACACAGGTAAAATTCTCAAAATTTCATGTGTCATTTTGTGAAATTTGACATTTACTTTCTTGGGATCTCATGAGAAATTTTCTTTGGTGTTATTTCAGATAACTAATTAAATCTTCTATAGCCCTTGAAAACTGTAAAAAGGAATTCTATATTTTTAAAATTATTCTGGTACAAAGTTTTTGTCCACTAAAAATTAAATGCATTTCTCCTTTAGCTTTCTTACCTTCTAAATTCTTTTCGCTTTGAATGTGGTACTGGTTTATCGTCTCTTCGAGATGTTTCATCTTCTCTGTGTGTAACAAAAAGCCATGTAAGACGTAGTAATATTTTTTCTTCGGAAAGAAAGCAATTATACTTATTCGATCCGTTGTACCAGCTGTGTACCCGTTGTTGTAAACATAGATCCACATGGCACAGGCAGGTGTCTTATTCTCTTAGGATCATTGCCTAGGATGGTTTTCTTGCAGCAGATGAATCTTGCAGTCAGACCCTAGCCTGTCAGCCTAGTTATGTAACAGACGAAACTAAACCTCTGGTTGAGTCCACCTGCAAAACAGTGCCAACATCGCTGTTCTGGATCCCCACGTGCATTCCAGGACTTGAGTATGCACAATGATTGGCTTGTTTAAAGGGCAATTGTTGATTTCCCAATCAGGATGAAAGGAAATTCAAAATGCCTCTCCGGTAATTCGTTGGGTCCATTGGGGGTCCTTGACAAGAATATCGGCCTTGGTTGCAAACGTTCCTAACCGAGGTAAAGTTCCATCTGCGACGCAGGCTGAGACCACTGCATCACTTGTTCCTGGCATTTGTCTTTTATGGCAGGAAACATGGGAGTTGCCTGTGAAGGAGGCTACCTTACATCTGTGTTTACCTTGACATCAGTTTCACATAACAGTCTCCCACACAATGTGGTCTGTCATGCAGGACTGCAAAGTGTGGAACAGCCTGCGAGCAAGCTCTCCGGGGGGTGGATACGAGGGAAAACTATTTTTCTCTCTCACCCCTAGGGCCCCCAGACATCTTAGTTGCAGGCTAAGTGTGGGACACATGGCAAAAATTTATTAGGGATGGATTGAACCACTGCATAGGTGAAATGCCAAGATATACTCAAACTAACAGCCTTGGAGTTTTTGAGCAGCTGACCCTGGTCGTTCAAAAGTTGCATAACGCTATCCAGTAGATAAGTATTAGGGAAACCATGGCATTATCCACTGGATAGAGATTTATCCATTGGATAAGCTATCTTTTGATCAACTGAGACCTGTTTGATTCTCTTCGTTGTGATTTTAAGTCTTCTTCGCAGCTGTGCTTTACATAGTCATCCAATGCTCAAAAAACGGCTGCCTATGAAAACTCTCATAAATTGCAGAAGTGATGTCTAAATACCTGGGAAATTAATAGCCAGCCTAGCTAGCAGTTTTTTTGGTGTGATTTTTCAAATGGGAAAACAATAGGGGAGGGGATAATGGGGAGAGAGCCAAATCTTTCCATCCAATAGGAATCTGACATTCGCTGACAGGTTGACATTCTGTTGGCGAATCAGGAATGCCATTTTCTCTGTCCGCTGGCGAACGATGTTTCAAAAATCTTTTGGGGTTGAATCCCCATCGGCTTCTCCCCTTACCCCCTGCCCATCGTTTTCTGTTTCGACCCAGGTTCAGCTTTCTCACAGAAGAAAAACACACTAAAAAAATTACCAGCTACGCAAACTAAACAAATTAATGCAATGTTTGTCTTAGAGCATGTACCGTCTTTTCGTTTCTTTAATCGATGTTCAGTGTCTTCAAGGTATTTCTCTGTTTGTTCTCTTCTCTGTACCAGACGCTCAGCTGTGATTTGTAACTCGCGTAACTCTCTTTCAAGGTTTGCAACTTCATCAGCTCTCTGTCGTAAAACTAGAAAGTACATTGATCGGTTGAAGTATCGAACCCTGAATGAACAGTTGTTTAAGTTAGCTAAGTAGTAAGCTTAACTTCTTAAACAAGCTTAAGACGAAATCCATCAGGAAATTGGGTAACTTCAATAAACCTTGTTGTACCAGAATAATTTAAACAATGTTGCATTCTTTTTATCATTTTTCAAGGGCTACAGATAAAATTAATTATCTGTAATAACACCAAAGACTATTTCTCATGGGAGCCCGTGAAAATAAATGTCAAATTTTACAAGAATTGTGAAAACACAGGTAAAATTCTCAAAATTTCATGTGGCATTTTGTGAAATTTGACATTTACTTTCTTGGGATCTCATGAGAAATTTTCTTTGGTGTTATTTCAGATAACTAATTAAATTCTCTATACCCCTTGAAAACTGTAAATTATTCTGGTACAAAGTTTTTGTCCACTAAAAATTAAATGGATTTCTCCTTAAGCTTTCTTACCTTCTAAATTCTTTTCGCTTTGAATGTGGTACTGGTTTATCGTCTCTTCGAGATGTTTCATCTTCTCTGTGAGTAACAAAAAGCCATGTAAGACGTAGTAATATTTTTTCTTCGGAAAGAAAGCAATTATACTTATTCGATCCGTTGTACCAGCTGTGTACCCGTTGTGGTAAACATAGGCTCACATACCTTTCCCGTTTAGCAACATAATGTTTTCGTGGTTCTTTTTGTCCTCCAGGTACGAACGTTTGAACGTATCTCCAGTCCATTCCATAAATTTTTCCTGCACCTTCTTTAGGTTCAGGCCTAAATTATCAATTTCTGCTGCTGTGGATACCATTTTCACTTCAAAATCGGAAGAAACACAGGTTTAGCAAAAGAGTTCGCGGTCACATTTCAATTTTCACATTTTAACCAATTAAAACGGTCTATTTTATCACGTGATACGGAAAAATCCGCTGTACCAACAAAGTCCTGGGCCTCTTTCTTGCACTTTCAGTTGTAGAGGCTAGTTTCAGATGTGTTCTTAATTTTTAAGAGATCCCAAGGGGGTTTAAACTTAATCTCTTTGTGCGTCTTAAGAATGGATGCATTTACTGAAGCCCTTATCAGTCATGCTGGTTTAATGTTTTGACGAAGCGTCCAAAATGAGCTCGGGAAATTGGCAGGTTTTGTGGTCTCCGAGTCAACAAGATAAGTTTATCACGTTTGGGAATGAGATATGCCTGTACAAGGTCACTGGATCACAGGTAAACTTTTATGTTTAAAGCCTTGCGACAAGAACATTAGTTAGATCAGTTAGTTAGTTTTATTACAGTAAATGGTAGATTAATCTTTACTCAATGTAAAACAAGGAAAAAAAAAATTTACACGTCTGGGCAGATCTGCAGTGAGAAGAACTGGGCCTGAGAGTGCAGCTTATCAAAGCCTGGTAAAATTCCAGATTATCGCTTTCCATTTAACCAAATTTAAGACAACTTCCAGTAGTGAATGGAACAGCATTTTCCAAAATTTCCAAAGAGAGGCCAACTTCGCAAGGTGTACCCAAATTTTCGGGAACTTTTTCCCGAAAGTTTTCTTTCCATTCAACTTTTGTCCTGGAATTTTTAGAATTTTTGGTTTAGTGATTGTTATTTCGCAAATTCAACAGTTTCTGTGATTTCTGGAAACTTTTCTGTGAAATGTCTGTACCATTTGCCACTGTTTCCAAATTTTAGAAAGTTTGGTTGAATGGAAAGCGCCCCAGGGTTTTCTCCTTTTCCTTACTTCCCTATTTTTCTGATGTGCTGGGAAAACCCCAGTGGCCATTATGAGCTGAACAACACTTTGTCAGGGTAAAATTTTGGCATGCAACATAGTAGGGTGCAAAGAAAGTCAGTTTTACAGCCTGCCATTTGGGCAAGATGTAGCTAGCATGTACTAGCCCAAAAGTCATTTCAGCTAGACCCAAAACCCTTCTTGATTAGCAGGATTGATTACAATCCTTCTGTAATATTGAATTTCCCCCAAAAACAGCACTTACCCAGTGGGCAGGTTAAGAACAAAAGAATAAAGCTGTATCACTCCAGTTAAATGGGATGTTATGATGTGGAAAATACAGCAGGCAATGTAAGGTGATGCTATCCGGACTGCCAGAATCCAACCTGCTTTCATCCCGGTAACCGTGCTGAAGTGTTCAGGTGGCAAAATTTCCAGTCCACTTACCGAGATTTCGGGAACCGAGCCAGCCCGGCATTCGATATGAACACATCGAAAATTTTACAGTGGATTTAGAGGTTAGGCGAGATCTCAGAAACCGGGCCAGCCCAGTCAATTGGGCTCATGTGAAGAAGCCATTAGGCAGTGCCTCCATTTCTCCTCAATCAAGAGGAAGATGGAAAGTGTCTCTGCTCACTGGGTGAGGCCAAAGGTGCGCACATCTTTAAAGTCTTTTTCATGTAGATGTTTGAAAAGTTTTGCTCCCAGAATACTTTTTTATTGGCTTTAGATGAACTTACATGACTGTTTTGTTATGAGTGCTTGTTATATAAATTCAAATCTATAACCTGTTTGGTTCTTCCTTTCAGGAGAGTCCACCCAAGGCTGCCGGTATAAGGAACCAGGGTATAGTTAGAACAGTTAGTTCAGTATCTTTATAAACATGGATATGATTCAGAGAAAATAAGACTTTTTGATAATAGGCTTTCTACATTTTATTGACTTACAAAAGGAAAAATAATGCAATGATGCTGAGTAGGATATGAAGAATTAAGCAGATCGAGGAGGCAGTTATCCACAGAGGGTGAAGGCCGAGGTGGATAACACCCTCCAAGATCTGCTTAATTCTTCATGTCCTAGGAAAGCCGAATTCATTAATTGCTTTATTATTCATTCAAAATAATTCCTAGTTTGAAAACATAGCTAAAACATGCTTACCTGCATCGATGTTAAGTTTATCTTCGATAGTGTACGTTTAGGTTTGTCCAGCTCCACAAATATTCTCGAAATAGCAGATGTTGCCCTCCGAGTTGTCTTCTTGCTGTTTTTGCTATGTTTTTAGCCATTATTTTACCTAGTTCCAGCTGTAGTTCTTACTCTTGAAACAAGTGAAGTGTCCGAAAACAACTCAACCTCGTCCCCAGATCTTCTTGGTTAATGGTGCATTAACCTGTAGAAGGCTGTATTTTTGACATCATTTCCTCGATAAAACAAAATTCTTTCAAATTTGGTCATCAGTAACTGGTTATGGTGAATTATGCATGTGCTTTTAGCCAATCTCAACTGGGGAAAAATTTTGAATGAATAATAATTTATAATTAATTGATTTATTATGTTTATAAAATTATTTTATTTATTTACTTATAATTTATTTATTTTGATTGAGCCTTTGACATTCACATTCACAGCAAAAATTTCTAATGATTGTTTTCAAATTATAACGAGCCCACAATCCTACTACTTGGAACAAACTCCAGTAACATATGTGATTTGCTATTTCAGTGATTCAACTGTCTGATGACACTTATGCTTCACTGGTATCTGTTTTGACTGACATACAATATCTAAAGGTAACAACATTTTATTACCGTACTGTCTCAGTTACCAGGGTGTTTAATCCCATAATGATCCTCAATTTACCTTTCTGGTCACATGTGTTATCTTACCCTGGTGATTATTATGTGATTCTTGACTTGGTGATTATCACTAAAAAGGCGTCAACTAACTCGAGGACATTGTGCCTTAAAGTCCCAGTATCCACATACAAATTCTCCTGACTGATCCCATACATTTTCTTAAAGAATAGTAGAGAGAATAGGCCTTTTCGGTAAACACGAAAACAGTTCACTTTTGAAAAATGCCATAACCTTTGTTGTTTTAATTCATAACAGGCGCTTTGAGCCCTTAAATGTGTAAGGGAAAGATTTGATGACCGTTTGAAAATTTGAAAATTTACAAGGATTTGCATGGAAAACCATTCAAGCGTGACTGGGTGGCAAGATTGTTATTCTCATACAAATCCATCTAATTTTCAGCGGCCAATTGCAATCACTACTTTTGAGATATAGGGCTTAAAATTTACAGGCTACCTAATAATATTCTCTTTCAGCTCATGCTAACAAAATGTTTCAAAAGCAAACTGTTCTCGTGTTGACCGAAAGTTAATCACATGATCAACTAATGCAAAAGGTCTATTTAGTCGAGCAGCCAGGACCCGAAAATTAAGGTTTTGTTCAACCCACGAGTTAGAAAAGGTTTGACAACGGATTCTTGTAGAACAAGTCCTACCGATTAACGCTAGGTAGTTTGTACTGTCAAATTGTGGTTTAGGTNATTTACAAGGATTTGCATGGAAAACCATTCAAGCGTGACTGGGTGGCAAGAGTTGTTATTCTCATACAAATCCATCTAATTTTCAGCGGCCAATTGCAATCACTACTTTTGAGATATAGGGCTTAAAATTTACAGGCTACCTAATAATATTCTCTTTCAGCTCATGCTAACAAAATGTTTCAAAAGCAAACTGTTCTCGTGTTGACCGAAAGTTAATCACATGATCAACTAATGCAAAAGGTCTATTTGATTGAAGGTGATAGCTCTTACCTTTTGGGATCATTTCATTAATTCTCATAACTTTTCCTCTTGATTTTGTATGGATATTGATAGGAGAAAATTGAAGGCGGTGACTGGTGGAACTTTCTTAGCCTTGACAAAACCCCTGAAACTCAAGTCAAATATGAAAACATTAAACCATTCGCCCCTGAGCTGCCTGTAACTGCCCACATGCGGATCCATGTCCCTTCTACAGGGTTGTGAAAAGTAGCCGGCTGTCGGGGAAAATCGCAGCCTACTTAGTTAGCATCCGCCGGCTACTCTGCTTGGCATTTCATTACGGATGACGTTTTTTAATTAAAATCCCTGTACTGGCCGTTTACTTTGACAACTCAGCCATCTACTTCAACACTTTCTGACAACCCTGCTTCTACTGCTTGTGACGTCATCAGTTGTAATGGTCAAGGACAACTTTGTCATCTAACTTGTGCAGAGTGAAGATCTTTCAATCATACCAGAATGAACATAATTCAGTCAAAGATACCTAAAATCTTGTTTCACTATGCTCCTACCTTTCCTTTCATCTAATCCCAAGATCCTAAAAGCTTTCATAAAAACTTTTCCTGCCAAAATGAAGCCTACTAAAAGCCCATCATTTTCTTGATTCAAAAATGCAAAAAAAGAGGATGTGAGAAAAAGCAAAAAAAAAAAAAAATGTCAAGACTGCTGTCAGTGTCACTTTTAAACCCAAAATTTTACTTTCTGCGTGTGCCTGAACTTCGTAAGCTAATATCTAGTTTGCATCTGGATCAAAAGCCTGGGAAGTGTGCTACCTGTAAATCGCTGTATGGTAAGTTTTAGCTCTTAATAGCACGACAGTATTCAGAAAACTGCCCGACTAGGTTCAAAACAAGCTTTTTGGCAAAATCTCCGGGGCGAAGGGGTTTAAGTCTCTGCTTATAAACTGGTAAAAATCTGAAATTTCTAGATTTATTACTGTAGACGTTTTTGGAATAATTATGATGTTCATTAATTCCTTTGTAACAGTGTGTTGCATGGTACCCAAGGTCAGAGCCAGAGAATTTAATAGCTGTTGGTCAGGCAAATGGCAGAGTACTGGTTACATGGTAAGAAACTGTTAATGCATTATTATGCAAAAGGGTATGATCTATTTTTTGTCAAGAAATGGAAAGGAGTTGCCTTTATTTTATCAGTTTGCATCCTGGTATGTTTTTATTGTCATCTCCGATATTGGTAATTACAACGTATTTTGTTATTGATAGGAATATTAGTTTGCTCTTATCTTTCCTATATGAGATCTATTGAATTATTGCTTT